CTTAGCTCGTTGTAACTGAAAACCATTATTGTACAAATGCAAGCACGCTCATTTAGTTGCTAAGAACAAATTTGATACAAAAAGTAAAATCAATTCCTGTTAGGTTCCGAGACAGATATATACCAAACCTGAAAAGGTTATCACTGATGAAGCTGAATATAAAAGAGGGCAACATGAAGTTGGCAATCCCAAAGAGGGTCATCAACCCCATACTCATCAAATGGCAGATATAACTAAACAGATGTCTAACTACAAGTAAACATTAACCTTTTGCAATAGAAAAGCATAATCTAAAGTTGGCAAGACTCATACCCTGCAAATGCTGGCGGATGAAGACCACCAATAGAAGCAAAGAAAAGGGAAGGACCTGCTCAATCCACCTAGCAGCCTGCTGAATGTCATATCTCTGGTAAGAAGAATCTCTGCCATTAGACCCAGCTCCATCAACTCCTTCTCCGTCAGCACTTCCATTTAACGATTGGGGCATGCCCTCTCCTGAACTACGATCTGTTCTGCCATCTGTCTGACCCTCCTCTGTTGTCAATGACACAGACGCCACCCCTGCCATTGGTGATGCAGAAACCTCATTTGGGGGAACAGTTACTTCCCTCAACTGTCCAACTACTAACCCTGCGCCTTCCCTGTCATGCTCCTGCTCCCCTGCACCAATTATCCTAATGGAAACCTCCCCGTCGTTGCTTGTGGTTGGAGATTGGTCCAGCTGACTACGATGGTGATCCCGGAAAGCAGCAGCGCTACGGCCGTTAATTAAAGATTCAGATTCTTGGTGATTAGAGCGGCCACGGAGAAGACCCGAGTACTCCAACAAGGCAGAAAGTGGTGCCTGAATGATATTGGAAGCGGATAACATTCCATATCTTCTAGAACTACTATTTCCCGAAGCAGCTCTAAACGAGTCCAGATGGCCACCCGGCGCTTCCATTTGCCTAAATGCCCTAACCCTAAGAATGGCCATCACGCAATATTAAATATACAAATAAAGTAATAAGCCAAATAATCCCAGAGCAAGTCATGTAAATGTAAAACAATACGAATCGTTTCTTCCGTGTAAAACAAGAAAGCCCAATACAAATGGCGTGATTATAAGCATAACTGAAAAAGGAAACTTGATGAACGCGAAATGAAGAAATTTGACAGGAGAGCTAACCTTCGAAAGCGAACCAGCGATGGAGTTGTCAGGGGAGAGATAGCATCGAAAAAACCCTAACCCAAAATCAAAAACAGAGAAATTTCATCGGCGCCGCCTCCAAGCCTGAATCTTGGGGTGGCCGGAGACGATTGACGATTGACGATTGACGATTGGAGGAATTGAGGAAATTGAAGGGGTAATAGGGAAGCTAGGGTTTTGAGCAAACAGTGAGCGAATGGAGGAGAATGTGGAAGAGAATATAGAGAGAGGGTTGATGAGGGTTGGGTCTGCGTGACCTTTGGTGAATTGGAAATGGAAATTTTGGTGTTTCTGTGTGTTTTGTGTTGTTGTGTTTCTCTTTCTCGCTCAATGAGGAAGAGCGCGAGAAGAGAAGTGGCCAATACCCCCAACAAGCAGCTAAAAGGACAATAAAGAATGACGCTCTCTCTCCTCTTTTCTCTTTTTGTTCTTTTAAATTGTTTTTTTAATTCTTTCATTCTTCGGTTTTGACCAATGTCACTTGCTCCTCCCCACGCTAAAAACAAAAACAAATAAAATAGATAAATAAAACGAAAATGATCTCAAATACCACTATTACAGTAACAAAAATCTCAAAAATCATTATTATGGTAAATGAATATTAATACTTCATTTATGTCATATCAAAATTATCGACACATCTTGCAGTATAGCTGGTCAGGAGTTATGTTCCAGTTGTTCCTTGGAAGCCTACTTACCTTGTTCATGCTCCATGTGGGCATTTTGGGCCAAAGAATAATTAGAGAAAGAAGATAAATGGTCGAAGCGAGATGTTTACTCTGTATTTGTAATCATTTTTATAATACAAATAACGGTAAATATCTTGTTTCGATCGTTTATCTTCTTTCTTTGATTTTTTTTGGATCCAAAATGCTTACATAGAGCACGAAGAAAGTAAGTGAGCTTCCAATGAACAACTAGAGCACATCTCATTTGAACTTCCAAAATCCGAAGGTTGTTCTGATTTCATGGATCCTCCATGTTGTAGAGAACATGGTAATTCTCTCTCAATATAGCGATGCATTTTCTAGAATTCATCTATGCTTGCTGAGAGATTGTTCACACATGCATCATCATGTACACAACTTCCTTCTCACTATCAAAAGACGCATGCAACCACTTGGATAATTTCTCAACAATCTCCTCAAGTTCTTGATGCTTTAGCTCAAACGTTTTTTGATTCGTGACCTTGTCCTCCTTAAAAAGCTCTTTCTCCAAACGTATAAAAAGCAAAAAGGGTTTCACAATTTCCGTATAGAATCAAAGGGGATCCCGTTGGCTTCACAGTCTCTACTTATAAAAACACAAAAACACATAATGCAGTAATAATGACATTTGAGAGTATTTCCCTAAATAAAAAGAGGATGAAGGGCCGATGTGAATGGTAGCATGCATGCAAGGATATGGACATGCATAGCACATCACAATGATCACATAACTTCCAAGGCCCCACCCACCCCCACCCTTGATCTATCCGTCATCATCGCCATCATGCCAAGCATGGGTTTGGTTTTAGCTAAGATTAAGATGCATGTATGTGAGGGGGCCTGTTACCATCAGATGATGGATACATCATACATACCAGTTACCACATCACATAAATAAATGGAGAGCCGACAAAGTAAGTGTAGATGGGCCAGCCTCTTTGTAGCAAATTTGTACCAGCCCAATAAGACATAGCCCATCAAAATCGCACAATATCAACCATTATGCTTGAACCGACAAAGTAAAGATAAATTTTTTTATACAAACGATAGTCTAAACTACTATAAATTAATCTAATTTATTTTTAAATACAAACGATAGTCTAAACTAGTCTAAATTAATCTAATTTACTGAAAGGAAGATTCAAACTTGCGCGTAAAAAAGCGGGCTCAAAAATGATAATTTTCTGAATTGAAAAATGGTTCAGATTCGATTCCTCCGTCTCACCGATAAAAAGGGGGAAAAAAAAAAGGAAAAGAGATTCCTAAAATTATTCAAATTAGAAGGGCCCAAGAAGTGAATTGACAGACGGAGGAAAATGGGCCCAACAACAACAAACAACAAACAACAAACAACAAAGTGGCCTTTCTTTCTCTCACTATATATTTTGGTAGCATTACGACGTCGGTGCATCACGAGCTAGAGCTACCCTACGCTCCGTTCCTTCCTAGCAACCAATAACAAGTGGCCCTTCTGTAATTTGGCCATTGGAATTGGAACCTTCTAGATTGCGCTTGGACCTTGGTGCAAATTTGGCATTTGCTCGAGGGGTGATTTGGTCATTTTGCACCGCTCAATCACTCGGGGTCGCTTTACAGTTTACATCCCACTATTCTATTTCCATTTCCGTCCACACCTTCCATGGCCTTTTTTATTTCCGGGTCCTATTTCGGATCTTTGGATTGCTAGTCATGTGCGCGCGGCGTACTTTAGCATTTGGTGGACTGTGGATTGTGGGCCCCACTTGCATCATTACACAAATGAGTCAGATCATATGAGCTGGCTCGTTTATATATTGTAGAAACCCAGAAGCCATACATAGAAAATTCTATGCATTGTTTTGTGTGGATTTCTTTTCCTTTTTTTTCTTTCATTGTAATGTAATGTCTTTTTGGATTTTGTGGAATGTCACATGAAGTTGTATTACCCCCCACACGGTTTCAATTATTTACATCTACGGCCGTCAGGGTTTTTTCTTGGGCTTTCAATGGGCTCATGCTCCTATCGAATCCAATATTCAATCACTTGCCCTTTAATTTTAGCTATTTCCGGTTGTATACAATTTCGTGTCTATAACGCTCATAACGTGCCTTGTTCAGAGAACATTAACTATCCTTGATTTGTATATCTTCTTGTGTCTATAACATTCAAAATGTTAATCTTATCCATACATGATTGTATACCCTCGTGTGTCGACAACATTCATAACATGCAGAAAGAAACACGCAACTGATAACAAGACATAATCTTTCATGTTTATCCTCTAAGATCACAAATTAATTATTCTATTTTCTTTTAAGGTGAAATTGGATTTGAATTAAGAATGGCGATAGTCAATTGGTATATTAAAAAAATCCAAATTAGATCACTTTTAATTTCCTATTTTGTTTAGTTACAAATCACACTTAAATGCTTTTTTTTTATTTACAAATAGAAAGAAATAGGTCAAAGTAGCGGCTTTCACTAACCAAATTAGGAAAATGTTGGCTAAAAAGAAATTATAAAAAAAGTTATGACTGTTTCACAGGTCTAAAGTAACAAAGAACACTGAATGTGAGAATGTTGAACTTTTCAAACACAATCCACAGTTTTTTTTTAGCAGTTTGGTCACGAGCCTAGCTGTGCACATGTGTATGGAACTTAAATAGCTAACATTTGGTCTGTGAGGTTCAATAACTTCAAGTTGGCTCTTTTCTCTTTTTAAATTCAATTCAAGTCACTTGGGCATTTGGGTTTCTTTCTTTGACTTTAAAGCTTGGTTCACACAGATTGCTGTTTTCTTATGCATTCACAAACAAGGAAACACAGAGAGAGAGAGAGAGAGAGAGAGAGAGAGATAGCAGGCTCATTTGGTCAATATGTTGAACTATGAAGGGTAACATTGTCCACCCAAAAGAAAGAAAGAAAGAAAGAAAGAAAGAAAAGAGTGAGAAGAATTAGGTGGGATTTAGTGTTTAACAAAGTCTTGATAATAAACACACCTGTCAATGACAAAATCTGATGCATTGTAACAAACTAATTATATTGCATAGTACAAATAATTAATTAAAAACTATCAATTTTTGGTGTTTATGTTTCCTTTTTTTGTTGGGTTTTTTTTATAAAACAAAATAAAATAAAATTTCTCACACTCATTCTTTCTGTCTTTTTGTTTCGCTTCACTCCCCACCAGTACATCTCCTCGCTGGCCGTCTCTAAATCTTGAGCAGCTTATCTCATCTCTCTCTTCTTCTTCTTCTTCCCCATTAGAATTTCTTGTAAAAGTTTTGGGCTTTAATCTCCAAACGGGTCACTTCCCTTTCTTGCCATAGCTTATCTTTTACAACAATTAAGCCCGAATTTTTTGCGTAAAGAAACAAATCTACAGCTAACCCGGCAATCAGTTTCTTTCCTTCTTCTCTCTGATTTTCCTCCAATCGATTTCTCAACAGTGACATCACGGCTCAATCTGTCTCTGTGTTTATCGTTGAGATTTAGTCAAAATGCAGACCCTTTTGAGAAGCCCATTAAAGCTTTGATTCTTTTGTACCTACTTGTATCTTGGGGTTGTTGGCAAGCCATTTACTACTGTGATCTTTTTCAGCAAAAAATTCAATGAGGAGATTCTTGAAGAGTATTGGCTTCTCACGCGCTCTTTGGTGGCAAATTCTTGTCCAAAATTTGTATCTCATTGTGGGTTTTTGAGGTGCATGCTCTTTTTCTACTCAACTCTCAGGAAACTGAGGGGAGCTCCATTGCCGCCTGCTGCAAATACCTCAAGATTTAGGGCTTTGTACTGAAACCCTTCGGCTGTATCCGGACAAAGATCAGGTATTTAGCTGCCCCTGTTAAAATCCTCACCTGGGTTCTTGATCTTGGTACTGAATCTACTGTTTTTTTCTGTTTTTTTTTTCTTTTTGGTTCCAAATTTAGACTGTTATAATCTCGCTGCTCATATTTGACCCTTTGAAGAAGAAAGAGGAGGTTGAAAGAGATTCTTGGTTGCCTTAATTTCGGTTTATTTCGTTTATGTGTCAATGGGTTTATGGCGAAGAATCAAGGTTTTAATTCCTTTTGAGCTAAAAAGATTCGCAGACCAAGCCCTTTGAGTCTTTGGGAGATAGCTTCTTTAACAAGGGTTCCAAAAGGGAAAAGCAATCTGAAGAAGGCATAAGAGTAGCAACGGTTGAAACCTTCAAAGTCACTTTTATACACACATTCTCTACTCTCAAGCTGACAGTATAATTTTTTTTCCTTTATCAAGTATCCGTTGTTCTATTAATTGGAGAGATATACGTGGCTGCTACGTCCAAGTTTTGATTTTGAAGTCCAAGGCCAGAGGTTTTGAAGCTTAATTTCAAGAAATTTATTGCACATTTTCAGTTATCATTCTTTGGATCCAAGGTTTTATAACTAGAAACTCCTCAGGCTATATATTGTCTTCCGGGAACTGAGATTTTACCACATTGGTTTGGGTAGCATTGTGCTGAGTTTCAAAATTTCAAAGCATCGATGGGGCTTCTATTTCGAAGTCTCGCGATGCTTTTCGTTGTGATATGGTTCTCACGGCTGCCTGATCTTTCTGCACAATCTTCAAGAGGCTCACCGCATGCCCTTGATGCTCTTCTTCAAGATTATGCTTACAGGGCTTTTGTTCATCCAAAGACCGGTGTTACCTTTGATGGTCAGGTTCCCTTGAATTTGACTGGAATTCAGATTGCAGCTATGAGGCTCAGGAGTGGTAGCTTGTACAGAAGAGGTGTTGCGATGTACAAAGAGTTTGAGATCCCCCAGGGTGTCACTGAGAGTCCATATGTGGAGAGGCTTGTTTTGGTGTACCAAAACTTAGGCAATTGGTCAATGGTGTATTACCCATTACCTGGTTACTCTTACTTAGCTCCAGTGCTCGGTCTTCTTGCTTATGATGCTAGCAACTTATTAGCCACAAATTTGCCAGAATTGGATATCAGGGCATCTGGTGATCCCATAAAAATCAAATTCCAGGATGTGAAACCAACCCCTGCAGGGACCGTGGCAAAGTGCGTTTCGTTTGATTTGGATGGTTCGGTCAATATCAGCAATGTGGCATCAGGCAATATATGCTCAACAATCCAACAGGGGCACTTCTCTATAGCAGTCGAGTCCATTGCTCCTTCTCCAGCACCAGTCTCTCCTAGTCCTAACCCTGCTGGTGAAAGTCCAAATGTAACCCCAAGCCCTAGTGCTGGAAAGAAGAAGAATAATTCTAAAGTGTGGATAATTGTTGGGTCTGTGCTGGGTGGATTAGCATTGCTGGCATTGTTGTTCTTCCTAGTACTTTGGGTGCATAAGTACAGGGAAAAGAAGAGTTTGCAACAGATGGAGAAGGCTGCAGATGTAGGAGAAGCCTTGCATATGACCTCAGTTGGAGATACAAAAGCACCTGCAGCAACATTTACTCGAACACAACCGACCATCGAGAGCGAATATGTTCCTTGACTTCCCACCATTTTGTACAAGCCTCCACTTCTTTCCAACCACCATTCATATTCAAGTTCAATTCCTGTATTCAGAAATTCATCTAATCACACCTTTTTTTGGTGGTGTCTCCTTCTACGCGTTGCTTGTTCTCGGTAGATTCTTTGTGTCACTGTGGGTAATCTAGGATTTAAGTGTAAATCTGTTATCACTCACTGATAGTTACTAGTATGATTCATTGTGGTGTGAAACTGTGAATTTAGCCCAAAGTGATCCTATATGTGATGATTTTAGTTGTTTCATTGAGAAGAAATTATTATAAGTTTCATTGTCCCCAGAATGTACCTTGGAGATCATTGTCCCCTCTTTCAAGTTATGGGCGAGTAAGAGTGAAGTACAGAGGCTGTATGATCTCTGAGCAGTTCTACTTTTTTCTCAGGTGTTGTTTTGGGTCAATTATTATGTCCAACAAAAACTTAGGGTTCAGTATGGTAAGGTTGTTTGATTGATTTCTTCATCTATATAAAAAGGAGGAAATTGACCTAACAATCAATCAATCGTTTTCTGCTCTTTCTTTATTTCACTATGAGTTCTTTCACTTTTGTTGATTAATTGATGCTAACAGATTGCAAATGGCTGAAAACCCTTTTTCTTTTTTTTTTCTTGTTTTTTTTCTTTTCTGTCATGACAAATGACTGACCATGGACTGTCCAAAACATTGGTACTTTTGTCATTTCTTTGTTCGAGTGCTGTCTGTCAGATGTGGTTTGTCTTGCTCTCCACCTAACATTTTTAATGAACACAAAATGAAATTTTATAATATTAGTATTCTACTACGTGGACCTAGTAAACTGTTTTCTTTATTTATTTTAAGGATTCAAACGCAAAGCTGTGCGTCAATTGGAATTGTATATTGGTTGGCACCAACATCACAAATGCTCCATTACAAGGTAACACTAACACCAATCATTGTTTCCAGCTCCCCCATTTCATATGATACGAGGGATTTAGGGGTGGTTGGGGGAGGCACATGAAGTTTCTGTTTGAAGAGATTAGGGGGGCACATGAAGTTTCTGTTTGAAAAGAGTAATTCACACTCCTCCCATTAGCAATGCGTAGACCAAATCATCAATCTTCTACATTATCATTATATTACCATTGAATTTCATGTTTAGACCTAATCGTCAACTTTTTGTTTGACAAATCATAAGAAGAAAATTTTATCAATTTGCGCACCCTTAGGAAAAAAGAAGAAGAAAATCAACAATGTCTAGCTAGGGAGGTAGTGAAAATAATCAAATTTGAAGATGCAATCTTTAACCAAAAGGATCAGAAAATCAAATTGAAGATGCAATCTTTCTCGCCTTACCATGATTTCGAGTATTGAGGTCAATCACCCACGTCCGCATGGACATCATATACATCATTGTGAGACCTACATTTAATCATTTTTTTCTTTTCCTTTTTTCTCTTCTTGTTCATGCACAAGATTTGCCTTCTCGCAGAATAAGAGTTCAAAGCAGTTCTTTTTTTAGGTCAGAGAGTTCACCTCACCTACTGTATATACTTTGTGTGGATGATAAAATCGCTGCCACTAATGCGTTCATTCAATTCGTTTCTACCACTTACTGCAACTTCAACAGCAACACTGATCATTCTTTTTTCTTTTTTCTTTTTCGGTTTTTATTTTTACTTGGATCATTAAAGTTCTACAATAAGTTGATTATCTTTTTTAAATCCCACTTAATGCCTCTTTTTCGGTTTTTATTTTTACTTGGATCATTAAAGTTCTACAATAAGTTGATTATCTTTTTTAAATCCCACTTAATGCCTATAGGCTTTTACAATGGGAGCACCAGATTGATTGTTTTTAAGCCAAATCATACATGGTTATGTTTTTTTCTTTTCCTCATTAGCCTTCTGAAGTTCCTGCACATTTTCTCTGCTTATCAAAGCATTTCTATCACCTATCAGGTTTTAGGTCATATTGAACCAAGCCTCTACGATTCCAGAAATAACTGCATGATTGTAAGACATTCTCGGATCACACAAAGCTCAAACAAACAAGCTTATCTCCAAAGGTTAACATTACAAATAAAAATCACTGGAGTACAGAAACTTTTCCATGGACAGTTTAACAGCTTATGAAAATTCACATACAACGAAAAGATTTGAGATTGGAGTTGCTCTAGGCTCCTTCTGAATGGGATGACGACTTTATTACTTCTCAAGATTCCATTCGCAAAGGTTCCTGCAGTTTGCACCACAATATCATGTAAGCTCCATGGTCAAGGTAACGGAAACATACACATGCACATTTACACAAGTGAGAATGGAGACACTGGAGTTTGTATCTGAGACTCTTCCAAAGACAAAAGCATGATACCACAAATTCCTTCCTAATATCTTTAAAACTTAACAAAAAGTTAATATTGACTATAAACAAAGGATTTCTGCATTTGCATATATTACATTGAAGTTTAAACATCTCTTTCTCCCTTTAAGGGATAGGCTCTTGCAATATGAAATGACTATGGTTGTTCTCATGAAAACCATACATGAGCTCGTAACTATCAGATTTGTGGATTACTAAAGAATATTCATACAAGATCTGGGACTGTCACACTTGTGTTTCGGGGCAGGTAAAGTTTTGTGACACACACTTCCCAAAATCAAATTATGTCATGAGTTCTTGCAGCTCCCACATCAACTAGGATGCATAGAAATGCCTGGCAAGAAACTCTCAAGATGAAATTTCCCTTTCAAATCCACTTTAGTTGAAAACCTTTATCAATCAACTCCTATAATCATAGCTTAGATGATGAAAGGCTATTTTGTAACAGAAAGCTAAATCAAAGACTATTTTTCCTATTAGGAACTCGAAAAAAAAAAAAAACCAACCTAGTATTTGCAAGAATAAGCAGCATGCATATAAGCAAAGTCAGAAATTCACTCATCCAGTTCTTCATACAAATAGTGTAGACAAGGGCCCGCATCAAACCAAAGTGATCACTATAAATCATAAAGCAACTGCACCATCTGTATCACCTGTGAATCTATGATACAGGTAGGTATATCTGAATATTAAGTATCTAGTAGTTCGTCTATGAGGTAAGATCATTTGACAATTTCATATCCCAAAAACTTACATAGTCCTGTATCAATTTAACACAGCGAGCATAAGTTTCATAATGTAATATCAAATTTCTTTGAAAGAACTCGCCTTGATAGGTGCATATAGCTTAAACAAGACTTGACAAACTCTTCTAATTATTTCTTCACTCATGTAGTAGCTCAACTTCTCAATCTCACATGAAATAATCCCTTCTAACATAGGTTTGTCAAAGCTTCTATAGTCAAAATATATACGTTTGTGCACCATCGCTTCAATAGTTACGATTTGACCCGTCCCAATACACTTGCATATGTCGAACTCATAATGCAGACAAGCCAGCTTAATTTACAGATTAGGACTCAGCTTAAAAGCAAAATCATTTACTTCACAATTAATCTTAATGCAGCAAATGACAAGCAAGGAACTTGAACAATCATGGTATACCAAAACAAGCAAACAAAAACCCTAAATCCAAAAAATCAATAAAATTAAGGTAAATGGTCGCAAAATCGAAACCCAAAATCCAAACAAGATGAATACCGGAAGAGACGGTCTAATTAGAAGAAGGAGCAGTCGCCTGCTCTATCAGCTTCTTGTCCCTTCTCTCCATGGCTACGTCCCACATGTCATTTCCGATGTGCTTCGGCTGCCAAAAGATCGAAAATTTCAAATTTCAAACCCAGATTCATACGCATTTCAATTCTGCAAGATAGACTGAAAGAATCGAAATTGGATCTAACAATGGAAGAAGAAGGTACCAACCCGGCCATGAGCGGCTCTGTGGATATAATACTGAGCATTTCCCATGACGCAAAGCATTCCTCCTATGATCCCAAGAGGGAGAAGAGCTTCCATCCAAACCAGCGACATCGTCCACTCTCAAGCTTTCTCTTCTTCTCTTTCCTCAGCTGCTTTTACCCCCACAGTCTGTGTACAGAGACGATAGACAATAGGCAAGAGACGGAGACTCCTTTTGTTTTTTCTTTTAATTTTCATTTTTTACAGAGCGGCCCTCTTCCTTGAGCCCAATTCGAAAGCCGCACTTTTTGGGGGAGGGGCCTGCTCTTTTCATTCTCTTGGGCCAGTGGGCCCTATTTTGTAGCCTTTATGATTTCGGGTTGATTGTCGGATTTGGATTTCATGATTTCATCTCATCTCCTCAATTTGATGTCTACAATTTGGTTTACAATCATATTACTTGTAATCGATATTAGTAATAGCTCAGCTTTGATCAAGTGTTAGTTCAAGTTACATGTTGAGTAAGCTTGACTTCAAAAGTTTCGAGTTAAATTTCAATTGCCTAATCTAATCAAACTTTCATATAAACATAATCGCATCTTGGTCACAATTAATTATCAACTCCTTTTAAGATTGATTCTAGACTTGGGATTTTGTTTTTTTCGTTGAGATGATTGGTTATTTATGACACAACGTGCACGCCTTGTTGTCGTTTGACATTATGTGCACGTGTCTTACATTATGCCATCCGTTTAGCATAATTGTTTTACTAGTTAATGTGGTTGCTCATCACGTGACTTGTCAATTGTTTTATTCACCATTTAACATTGTGCGCACGTGTTGTGTGATGCATGTAACTCGTATGTAAGATGAGTGATGACGTATGTAACTCGTGTGTAAGATAAGTGACGACGCATGCAACTCAAATGTAAGATAATTGGTGACACATGCAACTCAAATAGAAGAGAATAAAACTTTAACTAAGTGTTTTTCAAGTCAATTTTTCAAAATTGACTAAGTGTTTTTCAAGGATTCTCAAAAAGTGTTTTATTCTCTTCTATTTGAGTTGCATGTGTCACCAATTATCTTACATTTGAGTTGCATGCGTCGTCACTTATCTTACACACGAGTTACATACGTCATCACTCATCTTACATACGAGTTACATGCATCACACAACACGTGCGCACAATGTTAAATGGTGAATAAAACAATTGACAAGTCACGTGATGAGCAACCACATTAACTAGTAAAACAATTATGCTAAACGGATGGCATAATGTAAGACACGTGCACATAATGTCAAACGACAACAAGGCGTGCACGTTGTGTCATAAATAACCAATCATCTCAACGAAAAAAACAAAATCCCAAGTCTAGAATCAATCTTAAAAGGAGTTGATAATTAATTGTGACCAAGATGCGATTATGTTTATATGAAAGTTTGATTAGATTAGGCAATTGAAATTTAACTCGAAACTTTTGAAGTCAAGCTTACTCAACATGTAACTTGAACTAACACTTGATCAAAGCTGAGCTATTAC